TATATATATATATAATTTAATCGTCAGTTGTGCTATTTGTTTGGTGTTATTATTATTGGATCTTGAGCTGGCTTTTATTCGGTGGTGTCTGTCTTAAGTGACAGTTTTAACGTAAGTTCGGTGGTGTATGCAGATTCCTCAAACGAGTGGAGCAACTGCGTTCAAGAGATTGAGAAGGAAAAAGGTAAAACTGCAACAACAAAAAAACTAATTTTTTGTTGTTAATATCATTAGAAGCATTACTTCATGCCCCGAAGTTCCTCTTAAGACATGGATGAAATCATGGTTTTATAGGTTGTCATATGCTAATATCTTGTTGCAGTAACATGGGAACAGGCTGAAGTTTTGGTTTTTATATGACCTTTCTCGAATCTCATCCTCTCGGTTTTTTCTTTGCCCTCAGACTCTGGCTGAACTTAAAGAGGAGGAGAGTCTGCTCTTGAAGGAAAGAAAAAGCTTGAAAAATGTACCCTACCTTCAGCATTGTTCTCTATATCTAATAACATCTGATTCGATATGCAAACAGAGTTATTCATTTTACTGCTATTGTTTATGGATCAGGAACTGGCAAGCATCCGGGCTTTGCTTGAGCAACAAAGAGCAAGAAACGATGCTCTTAAGAAGTTGAAGGTGAAATCATCTCCCTTTGTCTATCAACTTACAAAATCTCTCTGGATCATGTAGAGTATTACTCTAATCGGTTGTATAAACGCAGGCCGAATCACAATCTTCCCTCCCCTGCAAAGCGGCTCCAGCAATAACATCCACGGCCTATTCACCTCACAGTTCGTCCAAAAGAGAGGAAACCGACGTAAAAAAAGATTCCTCCTTTTTGCTCCCTGACCTTAACGACCCGAGCCCTGAAGTTCTCTATGGAATCAGCTAATGAAAAAGTACCCAAAACGGGACAAGCAACCCATATTATTCTTTAGTTTTTCCATCAGCCAAAACCATCCTGATTCACACGACCAAAGAAACCAACTGTATCCATGCTTTAAGCCTAAGATGTTGCATAACTGTAACTAAGATAGAGAGATGCCTGATCCTGTGACTGCAACAGATGATTTTCATGGAGTTGAGATGATTAGGGTTTATGGTTGAGTGTCTCTTCTGACATACCTAGACGCAAGTAAGGTTTTTGCTCTCTTTTTCTTTCTTCTTTTGTGAGATGAGATGTAGTTATCTCTACAGAGCCACTCTCTTCCATTTTCTTCATTTGTTTTCTTTATTGCCTGCAATGGAAGATATTGCAGATGTTACATTCAACTTCATCTCTTCGGTGAATCGATTGTTCCAACACAAATTCGAACATATGTTATGCCTGGATCTCTATACTCAACTCATTTCAGAAAATGGTATGTCTCTCAATGGGGTAACGTCGGAAGAAGGAGAATCTGGTTGAGTTGTTGCGTATCTGCAAACTGTCATAGAAATGTGTCAGACTTTCAAGTTTCAGTCCTAACATCTTGAATCTGTGTGTTGTGTACGTTTTCGAACGCAACTTTTTTTTTTCTTCGGTAAGGTGAAATTATAGAGGTTTTGACATATACAACATAGGCCGATACATATGGAGAGTATAAGAATTCAGATGAAGATAAAAGAAAATGGTAAACCTATTCTTAATTGAGAACGAGTCATTTCTAATTGGTATTATTACAAATTTCGAGAGAGCTAATTCAAAACCGAAACGAATAAAAAACGAAGAATTCATGTGGTCGATCTTAAATAAACTTTGGATTAAAACGATATTGATGTTGGTAAAATGGAATTATGTCATTTTCTATTTCCGTCTTGGTAATTATGCCACTTTAGTACGGTGAAAATATTTGAGCTTTTTGAGCAAAACCTTGTACTATTCTTTTAAATGTATTAAGATTGGTTTTTTTGAGTTTATCCTTTTCTATTATTAAGTGATGAGTAGATTATGCGTCAGAGTTTGTTTCAATCGTGCGGTATAAATACATAATCTTTGTTTAAATAAATAAAGAAAAGAACGATTTTTTACCCAAAAAAAGGAACGGTCTTAAATTTCCAAAACGACATGCTCCGCGTACGAAACCCTAACATTTTATTTTCTACGAAATATTTTCGTCCGGACAAGTTAAAACGGTAAAAATGCTGACCAAAATGTCGTCTCTTGGCCACGTCACCCTCCGCCATGCGCTGCCGCCGCCGGGGATGGGCCTTCTCCACCGTCGATTCGACCCGACAATCAAAACCCATGTAGAGTTCAACGGCCGGATCAGGGCGAGCGGCGCGTCGACCAACGCGCCGACGGAGCCGGTGAAAGTGGGCGTGAGCCATGAGGTGATGGAGGCGGAGGGGAAAGTTCTGGTGGGGACGTACGCCCGTGCTCCGGTGGTGCTATCCAGTGGCAAAGGCTGTAAATTGTTCGACCCTGAGGGACGAGAGTATTTGGATTGTTCCTCTGGGATCGCTGTGAATGCCCTCGGCCATGGCGATCCCGATTGGCTTCGTGCGGTCACTGAGCAAGCCGGTGTTCTTGCCCATGTCAGCAATGTCTACTACACTATACCTCAGGTTCGATTTCTCCAGAAATTTTGAAAATTGATGGGAAAATCATCTTTCTGCTCGTATCATAATGTCACTCGAATTGCGTTAGTGTTGCTGATGATGCGATACAATGATGATTTGTCGGAGAATTTAATGGTTGATTGTTGAATATTGGCTAATGGGTATGTTGCATTCCATGGAGTTGTGGTTGAAACTTGGTCATTTCTGGGGAAAGTTCGAAACTTTTTTCTTTCGTGGTTGTTTTTTGTCATTCGGCTATGGCCTACATCGAGGGTGCTAACAAACTGTTGTGTTTTTTAGAATTGTACGTCTGTGTCTGAATATTAGAGAATTACTTGAGCAAATTGCTCACTTTCATGAAAGAGTTCTGTGAAATTTCATTTCCTGAAAGTTAGTTCATCTGGTCTCTTGCCTAGGATATGATTTCACAGGCTTCAATCCACATAGTTGGTCGCCGATTTCTCTTTCAGTGTAGAATGAGGATTGTCCGTAAAGATTCTATAGGATAATGTAATGATCAGATGGATGGATACATTTTAAGGGTACACATGGGCAAGAAACAGGAGATTTTTGTGCTATTTCTTAATGTGCATTGAACTTTATTTCTGCAGAAACCCGGTTACTGGCTTTTTCATACGAATGTGTTAAAATCCGAGACATTTTTGCTTGTGCAGATAGAACTGGCCAAACGCCTGGTGGCCTGCTCTTTCGCTGACCGAGTCTTCTTCAGTAACTCTGGAACAGAAGCCAATGAAGCAGCCATCAAATTCGCAAGGAAGTTCCAAAGATTCACTCACCCTGAAGAGAAGGAAGTTGCCACTGACTTCATCGCTTTTACAAATAGTTTCCATGGCAGAACTTTAGGAGCTCTTGCCCTGACGAGCAAAGAACAGTACAGAACTCCCTTTGAACCCGTCATGCCAGGTGTCACCTTCTTGGAGTACGGTAACGTTCAAGCAGCAACTGACCTAATCAGCTTGGGAAAGATTGCTGCTGTTTTCGTAGAACCTGTTCAAGGAGAAGGCGGGATTCACACCGCAACAAAGGAGTTTCTGTTATCTCTGCGTTCTGCTTGTGATGCCTCTGGATCCCTTCTTGTCTTCGATGAGGTAAAGATTGCTTCTCCCTCATAATCCATTTGAACTGTCAGTTCGATTTATAGCTCCTCCAGTGTAGTCTTTCTCATTCATCACTGCATCCGCACATCTTTCTCGTTCTTCGAAACATTCTGCAAGAAATTGCGGATCTTGTATACGTTAACTCAAGAGTCATGGTTTCCGTTCCTGTTCTTTGCCAGGTTCAATGTGGGTTGGGTCGAACGGGAAATCTATGGGCATACGAGGCATTTGGTGTAACTCCCGACATAATGACGCTCGCAAAGCCGTTAGCAGGTGGTCTCCCCATTGGAGCGGTGCTCGTGACAGAAAAAGTTGCGTCCACTATAAAGTACGGAGACCATGGAAGCACCTTTGCGGGGAACCCTCTCGTGTGCAATGCAGCCATGGCGGTTCTGGACAAAATCTCGAAACCCTCTTTCTTGTCCAGCGTATCGAGCAAAGGTCGATACTTTAAGGACCTGTTGGAGAAGAAAATGGGAGGAAACCCTCACGTGAAGGAAGTACGGGGAATGGGGCTCATCATCGGGATCGAGTTTGACGTCCCAGCGAAACCATTGGTGGATGCATGTCGGAATTCCGGGCTTCTGATTCTGACGGCAGGGAAAGGGAACGTGGTGAGGCTTGTTCCGCCGTTGATCATCTCGGAGGAGGAAATCGAACGTGCGGCTGAGATTATTGCCCAGAATTTGACTGCTCTTGATCTCAAAGACTGATGCTTTACGACAGCAAGTGAAGTTATTTCTGCATTTGTGTATGAATAATACATTACATATGAACCTTTTTCTTATTTGATTAGCCCGAGTTAAACCGATCATCACATCACCTGTTCGGTCTTTCTATGTTACAAGTAGACGAATATGTTATGTTTAACCAGCAGTGATGCATGACGTCACCGGAGCTGACGTCATCCTCTACGCCGGAAAAAGCTACCTTTTTCTCCCCTGCTTCCTTATATATACGAACGAGTTGAGCAAAATAAGTGTTCGATTGTCCAGCCGAATAACTGAAACATGGATTCGGCGGTGGAACCGCTGGTTCGAGGCCAAAAATCGGCGAGAGAGCTGAAGAAGAAGATCCAAAACCAAGGGTTATCAGTTGAAGCAGAGGATCTAGCCGAATCAGTCATCAATTCTTTCTCTAGTGCCATTTCCCATCTGACCAACAGCGCTCACCCCCTCCACCATCGATCCTCCGACTTCTCTTCAAATTCCACTGCCTCCTCCTCCCACATTCCACGCAGACCATCGAAGAGGTTCGTACCGTACCCATCAACGCCTTATGTATGTATACTCTTAGTTGACCGATCTTTGACTCGATCGGTGTTGCAGGAACAGACAAGCGGACGAGGTGTGCTCCAGACAGGATTCCCCGTTTCCGAACTACCCAGATGGGTTTGTATGGAGGAAGTACGGCCAAAAGTGCATCAAATCTTCTCCACTCCACCAGAGGTCCTAACACAGTCACTCTCCTCCCTCTCTCTCTCTCTCTCTCTCTCTCTCTCCATTTAATCGATCTATATGATGAACAGGAGCTACTATAAATGCGCGTACATGGAAGAATGCAATGCCAAGAAGCATGTGCAGAAAATACAAGACAATCCTCCGGTGTACCAAACCACTTACTTGGGCCGACACACATGTCAACATGATCAAACTCCGGTTTTCCAGATCTTGTCGGATTCTGCTCATGACGAAGTCGACGGTTCTCGGATGATCCATTTCGGAAAACTCGACCAAGAAACCAACCCGGTTTTCACATCAACCGGACCGGTTAACAATCATAGAGAGGTGTCCAAAGACGACCAGATGAGCCAGGATGATTGCATTGATCAATTCTTTGCAGACGACGTCGAATTGTGGCCGTTGGATTCGCCTGCGTCATCGGCCGGCGATATCATGATTGGATCGTCGCAGTTGGACTTGTCCGATTACGACCCGTTTCGGTTTATGATCTGAAGAGCATGACTCCATGCTCATTAATTATATGATGTTTTATATATTTAAATTGTTTTTAGTTTGAGTTTTGTTGTTGGTTACTACTTTTGTAAGCTGAAGTTTCTATCTTTGGACCGGTTTTGTTTCAATAAAATTGTTAGCAGTTTTGAATATACGGTATCTAATATTGGATTATCAACCATAGCCTAACATTTTTGTAAAACTTTTCAAAAAAAAGATCTTATATGTATGGAAAATACTGATGGATATAATTTCGCTTCGATTGTGTATGTTTTTTTTTTGTTAAAATTGAATTAGCCCAATTAGGATTTAATGTGAAAAAAAATGAAATTAAAAATGTGTTAAGAAAACCTAATAAAAGCAAATACAAAATGAATCGAACTGAACCGAATATATATATATAAATAATAAATTTTATAAAATCCTAAAAAGGCAAACCGAAAATCAAAATATAACTAAGCGGTCCGTATGAAAAGGCGGGCATTGTTCTAATCCAAATAGAAAGGCATTAGATTTTCTTTGCTTTGATTTGTCGTCGTTTGACCGTTGGAACTTAGAGTCTTCGCCCTTACACCCTAAGCACCTTTCACCAAATACTTTTGTGATAACATTCCAACCTTAAAAGCCTTAAAACACTTTCCACGTTGTTGACGTCTTTCTTTTCTTTACATCCTCTAACCAACCCTTCATTTTTATTCAATCTCCCGTCCATTTTATTATATTATTGTGGAAATTCGAGGAAACATCTATGCATGCCCATCTATAAAAATCTTGAATTTATAATTCGACCGTTTTTATCTTGTGTCATCAATTTATCTGCAAGGCATTAAATGCATCTCAAGAATCCGCACATACAAAAAATATTGTGGAAATTTCGTTATACTTTGTCCGAAATGCAAACGAAATCACAAACTTATAGAATCATCATCATATTTGATGTCCCATTTCCACATATACATGTAGATTAGTGTAACCGTTGATTTGCATTTATACATATAGATTCGAGTTAGACCAAATAAATTTTCCATACTAAAGGCAAAATAATCATATGACTCGCACCTTGAACGGAGGGAGGTAAACACACCAAAACATTATTAACATTTTTTATAATCAAATTCGTGTAACAATTAGTTATAAATTCTGAAATCGTTCATAGCTTTGTCAAAATTGTGTAAGGATTTATTTACTAAATGAGTTACCATCTCATAAGTTTTTTAACGTCATCTTATGATTTTAATGGGGGGGGGGGGTTTCAATGTAGGAAAATTCTTTAAATAAACAAACTATCACTTTCAAAATTAACGTTGTGCGCATTTCGATGACAAGACTCCTCACGCGCGTTCGCTTTCACAAAAACACAATTTGATGAAAAATTAAGCGACACGCGCTCGACGCGCTCTGCTTGCGCGTAGGTTACGGGAGTCGCGTATGACGGACGAGCTCGGGCTTTATTAAAATTTATTATATAATGGTAGGCCCAATAATGTAGTATGCAGATCCTTTACTAAGCCCATTAAAAGCGGATACGTTAAAAGAAATGTTAATGGGCTTGACTGATCCTGGATTGACTCCGCCTCCAAAAGATTTTTATTCCGACAGATAATTCTCAAAATTCAAAAATATCATTTATAAGAAAAATAAGAAAATCTCTATGATTAAATTATCTTAATTGTATTACTAACTAACAGAAAATTCTAAAAAAATATAAATTGTAATTAAAGTATGATATCATTTAAAAACCAAATAATGATTAAAAAAGATCGCCATAAAATTTATCATGTTTAAATTGGAAAATTGTATATATTCAATAAAGTAACAACAGTAAATCCAAAATCGTATTTAAAAAAGGAACAGAATATAATAATAATAAAAATGCGATTATATATATATATAATTAATTATGAGTACATGTTACACCTTGTAGGGTCACATTATTCAACCGCATGTTTAAGACAACACGATAAAACAGCCGCTAAGCAACGAAGTATAAAAGAATGTCTGTCGTCAAGTTTCTCAACATAAAAACCAGATCGCAAATAAAAATATAAGAAAAAGAGATATATATTTAGATTTTAAAAAAATTAATTAAGATTCCAAGAAGTAGAAAGCAACGAAGCACGCGAAAGGGGATTTGGCTTTCGTGGGGTTTCTCAAGAGACCACTTGGGTCGTCGGACAGTGAGACTAGGGTTTATCTGATTTTATTTTGTTTTAACCATCAAAGTTAATAATATATATATATATATATATAAATGTAAGCGATGTTTCAGGGTTAGGGTTTACGTGGGTTTTGGAGAAAGACCAGAAGACAATGCAAAATCCCGAGGAGAAAGAAGACAAAGAAAGTACGCCATTATGGTATCTTTATGCTTTCGCTAAGCTCCTGCCTGTGCATTTTCATGTAGTTTGCAATATCTTTCTCCAATGCTTAATCATCATACATGTGTAAATGCATGATATTGTTATCGTATACACACACATATATACATCTATATGTATATATATATATTGAGAGGGAGGAATATCGTTGTACACATATTTAGAGACATACACTCGTTGTTTTTTTTACCCGAGTCTTTCATATATTTCCTTTATAGGTTTCCCTGTCAATCTTCATATACCCAAGAAGTACGCAGTATTAATTTATTGACAAAAGGCTAGCATATTATATATATATATATATATATGTAGAGAGAGAGAGAGACTTGTTTTCACCCAGGTTTCATGGGATCTTTATTCAGAACCTAAGATGATGAAGAAACATAAACGAGGTCCTCTAGGGTTTTTTTTTTTTAATTTATGGGGAACTACAAGTGAAGTGAATAAAACAAAAAACACACACACACATATATATGTATATATATATATATATGCGTGTGCATGTGTTTATGCCGTATGAATAGTACAAGTTGCATATAGAAGATAGCTATATTAGTTCATATATATTAACTGGATTTGGGAGAAAACCCTTGTTTATCACCTTTTGCCACTTGCTTCAAAACTTTGAAAAATGATTTAATATCGATTCGTGGTTGGTTTTGAACATCACAAGATCAAACGTAAGAATTTTTATTATCTTCTTCATTCACGACATTTAAGGTTTCATGAGTATCATGGAGAAAGATAACAAAACAGATGCATTGCATAATCTTAACATTCATATATACGAAACCACATCTGAAGACCAAGCTCATGTTCAGCCACATCCAAAAGACAAGACAAAAGTACACATTTTCATGCACATGCAACCCAAAGAAGAGACCGAAACACGAATCCACCACTCCCACTAAGCATGGTTACTGAACTGCTAACCCGTCATTACTTGATGATCACAGCACTGTGAATTCCACAGCCCAACTTCAAGTCAAGCTCTAAACCACCATTATCACGACTAATCACGTTATTATCATTATTGGAACTGGTGATAGTAGTTGCATTGCTGAACAATTGTGCGACTGATGTGACTTTCTGACACCTCTTCTCCGTCATAACCTTCTTGCTCCTCCTCCCCTTCGCCCCCGGCGACGCCGCCTCAGCCTCCGCCGTCGGGAGAAACGGAGGGATGTAGAAGTTGGTCTTTGCCTTAGACCCTCTTAGCCGCCTCGCCGCCGCGTCGTATGCACGCGCCGCCTCCTCCGCCGTGTCAAAGGTTCCCAACCAGTGCCTGCACCGACCGATCTTGTCCCTTATCTCCGCCGACCACCTCCCCCACGGTCGCCTCCTCACCCCTCTGTACCCTCCACCACCGCTCCGCCGCCGCTTCACCCCCATAACGGCTTCGTCTGGCTTCTCGTCCTCCGCCGCCGTCATGCCTGCGCCGGGAATATTTCTCGGGTTTTCTCCCTGTGTGGAGGTGGTTTTACCGAACAAAACTGCTTCGCCGACAACAGCGGCGATGGTGCCGTCGAGGACCCATCTCAGGTCAGGTACGGAATCGGGTTCCAGGTCACCACCCAGTTTGTTCGAACCGGGTCCGTGAAAGGGTTTGGTAACGTGGACGGGCATGCTGAGAGACGGGATATCGAGCAACGGAACGGAGAATTGCACACGGTGGTCGTTAACGGCGTCTCCCATATGTCTAAGTGGAGAAAAAGAGTGCGTGGAGTCAGCTTTTGTTGATTTGCTAAACGAAGCAGTGGTGGAATCAATCTTATAGGGACAATAAAATATATATTAATTTATTTGAGTTTTTTTAAATGATTGAATTAGTAGGAAAAATAAAAAGAAAATATTGTATAGTAAGAAGATTTGATGGAGATAATTAAAGATACTGCTGTCAAATTCGATATGACGGTAAATCTTTCACATTTATGCGCCCGTCCTTCATGGTGCGACGAGAAAGTTGCAGTGCTACTTTTCACTCAAATCATTATATGCTTCAACATTATTATTATTATTATTATGAACATTATACGTGGCTCTATAGTACAATTTTTTTTGCTTGGAATTATACCATAGAATTGTATCTTATGTGTGTGTGTATATATATGTTGATCATCTAATGAAATAAAAAAAACGTGGGTTGTATTCGACAATTGGTTAGACAATGCCATGATCAAGGGGGGGGGGGGGAATCAACGGATAATCATGTGGATACCGTTCCGTGCAACGTGTATATTGGGCTTCTTTGGAGCCCAAACCCAAAGCCCAATCTCATGTAAATGTCGTAAATACCCTTGACGATCCAGGGCTGTCACCGGAGACTATCAGGGGTAAGATCGACATATCAAATGATTTGACTGCGTAGAGTTGGCAGCCGTTGGATTATAGGGACGTGGGAGTGATCTCGTCAGGGTGGCGTCAACGAACAAGATCTTTTTTTTTCTTTGTTATCATTCTTCCAATTTTGTTAAAACATGCATAAATTAATTTAAGACTCACCCGAAGAAAATAAAAATCCCGAAAAATAATTTAGAAAAAGATTTTTCTATTATTTAATCGACAGTTTTTTCAGCCAAGAAACAACGGAAAATTGAAGAAAAAACTTTCTGAAATTGATTCGGATGAAGAAAACAGTGGATTATTTTATTTTTTATTTTTTATTATAAATAACAACGGATTATTTTATTAGTACCAATAGATTTCATTTGTTTCCATATATATATTTTTTAATATTGAGTAATCTTTTAGACCTTAGTTACGGTCTAGAAATTATTTATGCCGTATCAATTAGTCCCCACTGTAAAAAAAAGGGTGGTTAATAGAAGTTTCCTTGCAACATCATTAGGTAACAATAGAGGACTGCTGCTGATGTTGGATGGTGAAATTTTTTCTGACATAAAATATTGGAAGTGTCTGATTATGTCAGATCCCTTTGGCAGAGGATCTATTACTGATAAAAACAAGTACATACAATACAACGCATACATATATATATATATATATATATGTATGTGTGTGTGTAAACTTATCTTTTTGTTGTTGTGTGCTCCACCACTCCCCGGCTTTTGCGTGTTACCATGCTGAAGAGTTTAAAGAACTGAAGGGTCATGGGCCTTAGCAAAAGAAAAAATCTCACGACATCTTTAGAAATCAAACAGAACAACAATGGCATATTCAAATGTTCTTCAATCTTAATGCAATTCACATACAATTTTCTTTAAATCAGGACAAAACTGAATGTTGAAATCTAACATTGCCCAGTTATTTTTTTCACATAAATGTAATTACAATGTATATGTATGTTCGTCAATAGAAGAGATTTTGATGCCATTTGACATATATATATATATATATATATATGTAAAGGCCGGTGTTCAAATCAATCGGATCATGGTGCTGCTGCAGATCCTTTTCAGCTTGGAACTGAAAGTGAACAGTGAGTGAGTTCGGTGTTTACGTCACATGTGGGTCCCGTATCTACGGACACCTGGATGACGTCATTGTCCGGTGGATATTTAACACGTGTCATCTCCCTGATGCACCTTGGGAAACTCCTTCCCCTCACGACAGAAGCTCGGGATCTTAACAGTTAGAAAGGAAAAAAAAAAGCCTTTTGATTTGCAAGATGCTTGCTCGTACAGCTTCAATGGCGTGTACGTGCGGTATTCGGTAAGCTTTTAAATGTTAAAATGCTAATAACTTGGAGAAGTTCAGATGGTTAGATTTCAAATAGATTTAAGGAACCACTAAGGAGTTTGATCAATGGACCATTTAGAACATTCAGGACAAGTCTTGCCTGAAAGAGACAGACTTAGCAGGTCCATGACCACCTCTCTCAGAAACCCGGGGACAACCTTCAAAATCCAGTCCGTGGGACCCATCAACCCGAAGCAAAGAACATAAAAATACGTGAGAAGAGATTTTGGGAAGAGGGTAGTTTTTTTTTTTACAGGAAGATATCTTTGAACAAACATATGGGCAGAATTCTTCCGCGTTGACCAATTTGACCCGTGATGGTTAAATGTGTATGGATGGCCAAACAATGGTACTTTGTTCATGGTTTAGAACAGACAATTGCTTGCATTTGTTACAGAACTCTTTATGGTCGACAGAGAGACAAGACTCTTGCACATCCTTCTCTTCTAACCCTTTCCCCTGCTACTTCCCTTTCCCTTTCCACCCGACGGAGATCAAGAAGAAGAATTGGCAGATATGGGTATGACCGTACCATCCTTACCCTCCTTTACTTCTTCTGATGGCTGCTCCTCTTCCATTTGCGCCATCAGATTTCTAAGCTGCGATCCCAAATATCACACCATTTTAATTGTTTCAGATCCAAAGCATGGCAGGACTATGTAATTTTTGCTTTGCTTCTTTACCTGTTCTTCCAGGTCCTCAATCTTTTCATCCTTTGCTTTAACTGCTCTCTTCTCCCTGACATAAGAACATAAGAGCATGCCATCCCCCTTCAGCACAAACCTTTTTAAAAAAAAATGGGGAAAGAAAAACAGAAAGCTACCTTTCTTCCAGTTCTGTGATCTTTGCTTTCCATATGTCCTTATTTTTCACAAGGTTTTCATTGAGCTACGTACGAGGAAACAAGGCAGTTAGCCCTCTACGGTTCACACCATAGAATCAATTTGAATGATTATACATACTCACTTCATCAAGAAATTTCTTATCTTGGACGCATCTGTCAAGCTTGGCTTGCAGCTTTTGCAGTCTTTGGCCAATTGCCTTGCTAACCGCTTCTGAGACTTTCTTTTCGGCTTCCTCTTTGACATCTTGTAGCAATTTCTCAAAATACTGTTTCAGAAAACACACACACACTTAGAGCTGAAAAATGATAATTTATCTATTAACAAATAGTGAAAGCTTCAATTGGCAATTGGCTTACTTGTTTTTGGTTCTCTAGTTGTGCATGGAGCAGTTCATTGTACTCCCCAATGATCTGTCGTTTAAATTAGAAAATATCAAATGCAGAATTATTGAAAAGGACATAACAAATGAACGCACAGAACAAAAAAGAAGCAGTACCAATTCGACTTTGCTGTTCAAGAGAGCATCGGTAATTCCACTGTCAGAGAATTCACAACTTCCACGACTATCATCGTCAAGCGAACAATGAGTATTCAACTCCACGAGCTTACCGTCAGTTTTGGATTGAATAAGTCGGTGAACGTAGTTATCACCAGCATAATCCCAAACACGCTGTGTTTCAAGCTCAAGAGAATAACAATGCTCTGTCTCTTCCCAGTGCCTTATGGCATGCCCTCCCTTATACCTGCAACAGCCCTTTATCCATAGTGAATGGCAGACACAAATAGTTAATCCACACAAAACAAGTCTTAGTGCTGGATGCCGAAAAGGCAATTATTACCTCCCGCAGCCAACAAACCCACAGATAACACACATCCAGAGATTCTCAGATGTTTGACAAACACAACATACTGAATTTTCAGGTTGCTGCTGGCAATATCGACAGACCTGAAAACAACCAAAAATAACACCCAAACATAAACATATTTGCTACGAATCAGTTAAAAATCGAAATGCCCCACATGGAACAATTAAAATGAGGTAAAAGTTGCATAAAACTGATCAAAGCAACTTACTGGACAAGAAGAATCTGCCCAATTTGAAATACATGAACAATGGAAGGAGTGATTGCACAAGGTTGTGAGAATGCCACCTGTATCTTGGTCTAGCCTCTCTGAAACAGGCAGGGATGATTCAGAAAATGTTTAGGATATAGTTTAGTAATGGTGTATGGAACTGAATATATCAGTTAACCAACATAGTCAATATAAAGTATCAGAGTTCTTGAAAATCTTACTGCTAACGCTAAGCTTGCACCATTTTTCATTGCTACAGTAAACCAAGCCTTTTAACAAATTCAGACCACAAGGTTAAGATTGTACCTAGACAAACTGGGCAAGTAGATTGCTCTATTGAGCCAGCAGAAGAAGGCTGGGTATTGTCAATGGATCCACTATAGCCGGTAAACTGAACATCCATAGTAAAAAGTACCCGGCAAACATCTTCCTGCAACAAGCTACTTATCAGTAAGTGATCACGACGATACAATCAATGCCTACTACACGTAAAACCACAAAGAAACTTTAAGGCGACACAAGCAGGAGTCCATACCTCCAGAGAACTGAACCGTTTTCCGCCAAAATGTTGGTAAAATGCATCTGTGAATTCTTGACTATCAAACCTTATCAAAATACTATACCGATTTTCAATCCCATCGTTCCTAAAACAAGGAAAATCGGTAGCAAGTTAATTCGTAATCCTTTTTGCCAGAAGATCAACCAAAGTACTCGGTTATAGTCTTATCCTCCTATTATTGCAGAAAAAAGATGAAATCATCGTCTACCAAAAGAATCGATTTTAACAGCGATTCCGATACCCAATTGATTTCTCTGCTTTACCTTACAGTTCGCATCTCCAGAATGTGCTGGATAAAAGAACCACAGAACTGGCAAAAATCTGCATAAGTCATGTGGTTCGGAACACCGAGCACGCAAACAAGAGGATTCCTTCCTATCTAAACGACGCAAAAAGGAATTCCGGATCAATCACCCAACGGACAAAAAAATGGGAGAAACTAGAATCAATCAAGCGAGAGGAAAATGGAACTCCGGATAAAACTGAGCGAGATAGGGAGAGAGATTACCGGGAGGTTCGAGGAGGAGGATGAGGGGGAGCAAGAAGACGACGACGAAGACGAAACGGAATCGTCAGAGAAGAGATGCATGACGCCATGGGTTTCCCCTATCCTAGGGTTTCCGGAGGAGAAACGAACAGTCTGCGTCATATCGCAAAGAGAGGATTCTCCCGCCATCAGGCCTTCTTCTCCGGACACTGTTCTTGAGCTCGACGACATGGCTGTTAGTTTTTACAGAGACGACGACGAACAGCCGACGATATACATTTATTTATTTATACGGAAGAAATCATACGCTTTGCAAAGAGCCTTTTGTCAGCTATTAACCAATAATAATTTGACACCTCATCAACTTCGTGGGGAAGTTTCTACCTTTTTTACAGGAGAGGCAAGAAAGTTACCAAAATTGCAAATAACCCCCCACAAGCCACAACCACAACAGATCTTATTCCACTGTTCTATTACGCAAAAAAACCGTTCTTGAATTTTATTGTAAACGTTACAGAGCTTTGCCAAAAGCTACAAAACAATCAAACAGAAGCTGGAACTTGGGATTCCACTGATTTCAGCACCTCCTCGCCCATCTCCTTGCATCCAACCAGTTTCTGTTTCGCCGTATCATGCAGGAAACACAAGATGTAATCATGTAAGGATCACATTATGGTCATTGTTCTACAGATTTTATAGTTATAATGAAAGAGAGAGAGATTGAGAGTTTTTGAGATAAGTTACAGTCCCAGAAGAGTAGATGTCCCCGGTTCTGAGCCCTTTGTTGAGAGCATCCAATACCGCCTTCTCGATTCTATTGGCAGCTTTTTCTTCACCGAGTCCATATTTCAGAAGCATTGCAGCACTTAGAATGGTGGCCAGTGGATTTGCTTTGTCCTACAAATATTCAAGAATTGTGTTTTTTTGGCACACGGATAGTTTTACATATTTGGAAGAGAAGAAAAACCCATCTTCATAGGACAGAGTAATAACCTGTCCAGCAATATCGGGTGCAGATCCGTGTATGGGTTCAAAGAGTCCGGGTCCCTGTATAAAAAGAAGTTCATTCAGACATTAAAAAATGAATTTCCAATGTCACGGCATGAGGAAAATGATATGTTGAGATTCTTTTACATACTGATTCACCAAGACTGGCAGATGGAAGCATTCCAATACTTCCTGTGATCATTGAAGCTTCATCGGATAATATATCACCAAAGATGTTGTTTGTAACAATGGTGTCAAACTGCAATTTTCCAATAGATGATCAGACATGGTGATATTTCTCATTCCTTTATCAAGAAAGGCAGTTGACAGTAAATTGTCCCGAGGATGAAAGCACCTGTTTCGGGTCACGAATAAGCTGCATTGAGGCATTGTCAACGTACATATGTGATAACTCAACATCGGGATATTCAGCGGCTAATGCTGTCACCCGTCTCCTCCATAACATCGAGGCCTGCATGAAAAATGGCATTCATCTTTGGTATTTACAGGGAAGCGAGGGTGTAAAAAAGCAAAAAAGTCACTTCTAGTTATCGACCGTACCTCCAAGACATTGGCTTTGTCAACAGAACACAGCTTGCCACGACGCTTTCGAGCAGTCTCAAATGCAACACGAGCAATCCGATCAATCTGGGGAATGTAAGCAGATATTTATACATATTAAGCAATCGTTTCATACTTTCTTAACAATGAGAAAAAGAGGTTACTTCTCACTTGGCATTCACGCTTTCAGAAACTATGGTGTAAAGGAGAAAAGGTTTTCAAGATAGTAACTTTCAACCTAAAATCAATGGGGAATACAGTGAAACTGCAGCAAGATTTTCAAAAAGAGTATACCTCATGAGCAGCATAGACCTCAGTGTTAAACCCCACTTCCTCACCATTGTCGTTGGTGTTTATGCCTCTTGGCTTTCCAAAGTAAATACCTGCTTCCATGAGGATTAAGGAAATCACAATGTGAAGATACTTTCCCACAAGGTGAAGACCAGAGATCAAGGAAATAAAAAAAATTCTCACAAGAGATGAATTAGTTCAATCAGTATTTTCACTGACCTCCTGTAAGCTCCCTTACAACCATTAGATCAACACCTTGCGCCACCTCCTTCTTCAAGGTCGAAGCATCCACCAACTGAAAGAAACATAATTTCAAGATTCACCAAAATGAAAAACTCAAGTTACAAATCAAATCGAATGCTCAAACTATAGATGGAATTATTGCTCAAACCACCTGTGGCAAAACAGTGGCAGGTCTTAGATTTGCAAAGACTTTAAGACCCTCACGGAGTTGTAGCAGCCCAGTCTCAGGCTTTAGATTCTTTTCATTTTTATCCCATTTGTACCTGGAACACACTGCTATTATCAAGACAGAGCCTGTACTTCCAAACGAATAATCACTGAAACAACAAGATGAACCAATGGTTTAATGAAATAAGGGACGAGACACACCCTCCGATAGCTCCAAGAAGCACTGCATCAGATTGCTTAGCAGCCGAAAGGGTTTCCTCGGGCAAGGCCACTCCAACCAAATCCAACGCAGCTCCTCCCATTGGCATCTCTTGAAAGCTAAATTCGATGCCTAATACAACATTATACACGAATTGCCTAGTCTATGAGTAAAATCACACAATTCTATTATCCAGGCCAAAGTTCGTAAAATTCCCAAACTTTCATGCCTCTCTATGAGATTCAATAACAGAAATTTGGATTCCTACCAGAGAACAGTAAACCCACGAATTCTCTCGCGATTTATCGGGAACAAATAAAAGCAAAATGGAACGGCAACTACAGGGTGAGAGGTGAGACCTTCGAGAGAACCAGCTTGGTGAAGCACATTCTTGGCGACGGAGATGACCTCGGGACCGATGCCGTCGCCGGGAAGGAGAGTGATGTTGTACCGTTTTGCCGGCGAAGCGGAGGCGGAGGCGCAACGTATCCGACCAGGTTGACACGACCGTTTGGAGACGGATCTGAACAAGGAAGGGCCCTTGATCGGCCTGATATTAGCCTGCAGAGCCGCCGGCATTTTTGAGAGAGAAAGACGAGAGTGTCAACTCTAGGGCCACACCTCTCTTCTGTATCCTCTTTCTTTTGGGGATTTCAATTTTTCAATTTGAAAGATTTGAGGGGAAATCGAACATTTTCAACAAAAAAAAAAGTTTGAGAAAAAAATACATTAAAGACAGACTTCTCCCATATGGCCGCACATAACGTAAACGTAGTACTCTTTTTTGTTTTCAAATTCTAAAAAAAAAAATTAAATCATTTTTTATAATTAATTGCCCAATTTAACATTTATCATTGATAACCCATTCAAATACTTATTAAAAAATATATATTGTTCTTTATGGAAAAAACTTGTTCAAATACAATGATACGTTACGTATGATCATGAAAATGTCAGTCGAAATTGACATAATATAAATGCGTAAGGGCAGGTCATAAGTACAGCTTTTTCGGTCTTACGGTTGGAAACCAAACCATGCTTATAGAACATGAAACACGCTTCCAACGGGGGGAGCGTAGACATTGGCATCAAGAGACTTGAGAATCTCCTCTCCCATCTGCTGGCAACCTACCAACCTCTGTCCACACAAAATCACCAATTTGAAGGCCATCCTCACTTCACTAATCTATACTTATACACACACATATATATATATATATATGAACTTAAAACAGTTGATTATATGATCAAACATCCATATTTAGTTACCATTTATGGATATAACTTACACTTATAGAAGTGTGAACATCACGAGTTCTGAATTCTCGGTTTAGAACATCCTCTACCGCTTCTTCTATTCTCTTCGTCGCCTTCTCTTCTTTCAAACCATACCTCAGAAGCATTGCAGCCGATAGCACTGCCGCCAAAGGGTTCGCTGTATCCTGCCAGATTTCAGTTGCATCATATACCACATATATACATATGCACATGTCTACGCGGGTTTCGTGTCTGAACAAAAGGTTGTGTCGTTATGAACCTTCCCGTAGTGTTTAGGTGAAGAGCCATGAACAGGTTCGAAAATTCCAGGACCCTGTATCAGTCAGAATGTTTTTCAAAACAGTTATAATGACAAATCCAATGAGTTTCCTCAGAAGAAAAAAAATGATGGATCGACGACATTTTACCGAATCGCCAATTGAAGTAGATGGAAGCAACCCTATACTTTCAGGAATTACAGCCGCGAGATCAGATAGAATATTACCAAACATGATGCCGGTCAAGATGGTATCAAACTGGTTCATTTGTTTTTTAACGGACAGATGTTTGATTTGGAAAAAAAATTAAAAGTCTGGATATTTATGTGAGAGTCGTGAAAAGATTATGTATTTTTATATGATAATTATATAGTTCGATTATTTACTTGAAAATAGTGTAAAATTTTGAGTATTTTTATGCGATTATCCAATAAATTGTTTTGTGGACGGAGCTCAATTTTTCAGCCTTAGAAACGGGCTGGGCCTAATTTAGAGAAAGCCCAATGAGTGATTTCGGATCCCAAATTGGGAAACCGGGTCGAAAATTCGCCCGTTGATCGCCGCCTTTTGACGAACCCGGCAATCGAAGGGAATGGGAAAAAGACAAAAAGGGGCGTCGATCTCTTATTGGATATTCGATCGACTTAGAATTATGTTTTCTTCCTCGGCTCTAATTCGGCCATGCATTTCCGTCTCGGATTTTGATCCCAGGAACCCTAAGTTTCGCCTAGACCAATCGTTTCGATCAGAAAATGGAATGCGAGGCTCTCGCCTGTTACGGCAACGATTGACCAAAAGCGATGGAGCTTTTCAACTGGGTTGAGATGGAATCTGGATTCAGAAACACCGCCGTGACGTTCAATCGGATGATCGTCACACTGGGTAAGTTCTGGGATTTGATACACCGCATGTCCCAAACTGCGATTTCGGTCCCCCAGTAACTTGACGTTTCGTATAATGTTCAAGCTTTAGGCATCTTGTTCTAGAGAGAATCTAGATACATTTTGCAATATGTATGAGCTAAATTTGAGAGATGAAACATCCTTTTGTAATCTAGTCGATGGGCTTTGCGAGTACAAGCATGTGGTTGAAGCAGAAGAGCTTTGTTTTGGGAAAGGGGAAGATTGATAATGGCTTTAACCTCAGCAAGATCAAGTCTTATAATACAATTCTTCGTGGGTGGTGAAAAATGGATTGGTGGGGAAGTGTTGGGAGCTTTGGCCTTTGGGAGAAGATGGATACCGATGGTGTTGCTAAAGGCTTGTCATGGTATTCGATTTCATGGATTTAGAGTGAAAGGGTGAAAATCCATGGAAAACTGTGAATTTGTACAAGGAAATGAAGAGAAAAGGGATTACAATTGGTGGATATGGAAATTAATGTCACATGTATTTAGACTTTGTTATCAGGGCGCAAACCTAATGTTGCGACGTGTAATACAGTGATCAAGCTTCTCTGTGAAAGATAAGCGGATGGATGATACATATGAGATGCTTAACGAAAATGCTCAAGAGGAGATGCTCCCCAAATTCAGTTACAACAGTTTCTTCCGGTGTATGGTGAAACCAAGACAGATTCATTGTCTTTTTGATAGGATGATTAGCAGTTATATTCGACCGGAGATGGATACTTATGTGATGTTTCTGTGAGAGTTTAAGAGATGGGGGTTTCTTCGGCCAACTTTATACGTCTGGAAGTCTGGAAGAAAATGGATGGGGTAGGGGATACTCCCGACTCAGATTCATATAATGCTCTGATTGATTCTTTGATTCAGAAAGGATATGGCTAAGGATTACGAAGAGGAAACTATGGCAAATGGGTTATTCTCCAAGGAGAAGGCTGAAGAAGAAACAGTTTGTAGATAATTTGGACCTCTTCCAGGTATTACATTATTTTCCCTAGAGTTTCTTTCAAATCCACGTCTTCTGATTTCCGAGTGGAAAAATGTACGTAGACACGCATAGACAACAAGTTACATGTATGTGCGTATTGATATTTAAAGCAGCGACTTAAAAGTGAGATTAAATGCTAGTAGTGGTTTCTATTTGAAAGTAACAAAGTCTTAATGAACACCCAAGCTTTAACTGATTTCTTTCATTACTGCAGGATTAAGACAAGAGAAAAAAAAGAGTCAAGATTTAAGGGGTTCTTAGGAGACTGTTACCCTGCAATAGCTGATCATGTTGCATCTCAAGCAACCTTTTTACGTATCGTCGGGTCAAAATTTTGACGAGGCTCGGTGGCTTGTGAATGTTCGACAATCTCTGGATGCAGATTTTGAAGACGATAGTGAGGTCCTAGTTTGCATTTTTCACGTCCCTAAAGCGCTGATGTATAGCCATCCAGATTGCTACACACCCCAGCAAGTTGCAATCGGACCTTATCACTGTTTGAGACCCGAGCTTTATGAAATGGAAAGATACAAGCTTTTGGCTGCAAGAAGGATTCAATCTCGATTCAAGACCTTTAAATTTCTCCATCTTTCTGAGAGGTTACAAGAGATGGAGCCAAAGATTCGAGCATGCTATCACAAGTATGTGGAATTTAAAGGCGAGACTCTGTCGTGGATGATGGCAGTAGATGCATCATTCCTTTTAGAATTTCTCCAGACCTACAATATCACAAAAGGTAAGACATTGTCAAGAATTTCGTCGGGGATGTCGCATCTGGTTGATAATGCGGGGAGGAGATCAGGGCACAATGAGATACTGAGAGACATTTTGATGCTTGAGAATCAAATCCCGCTTTTGGTGCTGAGGAAAACACTAGAACTCCAACTTGAATCAGTTGAAGCAGCCGACGATTTGTTGTTTTCCATTCTGACGGGATTAAGCAGGGAGCTTTCCCCTCTCAGTACAGCAGAGTATTTGCCATCAACTCGAATACAAGAGTATGCACATATTTTGGATTTCATGTACCAAACAATTGTGCCGAAAATGGAAGAAGAAGAGCTCGGGATAGTTGGTGAAGATGAAGAAGACGGAGAAAATGACCATGGCCGAGAAAAAGCATCTCCTAACTCACGGTTGAGGGAGTTTCTGCGAGAGATCAAGCTTCGGTTTAAAAAGGTTTTCGAATCAAGACCTGCAGGTTTCATCCTAAAGCTGCCATGGAAAATTCTGTCTAATCTACCTGGATTCGTCGTGTTGAAAGTGTCAGCTGGATACTTGTTCACCAGACAAGAAAACGAAGAGGGACAAGGAAACTCCTGTCCCGAATCCTCCACCGACATTGAGAAACCTCCTCTGGCCGAAGAAATCACCATCCCTTCCGTGTCAGAGCTTTACAAATCCGGTGTACGATTCAGACCCACCAACGGTAACATCTCGACTATTAGTTTCGACTCGAACTCGGGTCTGTTCTATCTCCCCGTCATCAACCTTGACGTTAACACTGAGATCATCCTGAGGAATCTAGTCGCTTACGAGGCGTCGAACACTTGCGGGCCACTGGTCTTTACACGTTACACCGAGCTAATCAACGGGATCGTCGACTCGGAGGACGACGTGAGATTGCTTAGAGAGCAAGGCATCCTCATGAACCGCCTAAAGAGCGACGAAGAAGCTGCAAACCTCTGGAACGGGATGAGCAAATCTCTGAGGCTTACGAAAGTACCCTTCTTGGACAAGACGATCGAGGAAGTGAACAGGTACTTCAGTGGAAGGTGGAGGGTCAAAGTGGGAAATTTAGTCGAGCTCTATGTCTATGGTTCATGGCGGTTTCTTGCGTTTGTAGCTGCCGTCTTGGTGTTACTGTTATTCTCCCTGCAGGTGCTTTCTTTGGTGTATAACTCGACGAGGTTGCTCCGTCCAGGACAGGGAACTATGAAGTGACGTCGTTTTGTTTTATAAATTGTTTTTGTCTTTTTTATTTAATTTCGTATTTTTAATATTAAGTAAATGACTTGTTGTTTTGTTAGTGGGCGTCCATGAAAACATATATACACTTTTTTTTTTGGTAAAAATATATACACTATTTTATTATTTTATGGCTGGTTATTCTAAAAATATGATTGGATATTTTCTTTTGAAATATATGTTAATATATGTTACCAAAATAATCGTTACATAAAGAAATGCATGTACAAACTTAAATGGTAAGTTTTTTTTGTTGACAATTGTTTGTTTTATGTATAGGAAAATAAATATGGAATTGATTGGAATTGTCCGTTTTTAATTTACACGGCTCGTTACGGTGGAAACTGAATCAACGCGGTCTCATAAATGACATATCTTATTAAGTATAATCATTATTAGATAAAATATTCCTTCCGATTTTAATTTTCCCATATATGTAACCGGGAAGAGAAACCGCGTAGATTATTAATTTTATTTTTATAAGAATCAATTTTAAATCTCAAACTAAATAATGTTTAAAGAGTAATATTTTTATAGAAAACAACTATTTAAGGATACAAATCAGGTAATAATGGGTGGAGAAAAAAATCAGAAATACAATTCCAAAAAGGATTAGACATTTTAGTAAGTATTTTTCATCCGATCATATTGCAGCGATAAACCCCATTTTCTTCCCCCCGAGTTTCTCGAATTTCGAAACACACACACACACAAAAAAAAAAACAAATGCGTCGCGGTATCGAAACGCCGTCGTTTCATGGTCATCATCGTCTTCTCCTCGCCGTGGGGCTCCTGGTCTCGTCGAGCTTGATCTCCTTCTCTAATGGAGTTTCTTGTCCTTCCCATAATCCCCCGTCTACGCTCAAACTTCAAGGTTCGTCACAATTTACGTTTTTGTTTTTCATTTTGGTTGATCGAAATACAAAGTTTCGATCTTTTGCTGACAATTTCATGTCGAAATTTCGAGGCTTTTCATCGATTTCTCTTTATACAATCCTATATTCGTGGCGAATTTTCAAGAGTTTATTGATTTAAAACGTGGATAGGGTTGAGGAGGGAGGTTCTGGAAGGAGGGAACGGGACATTGGTTTTGGCAGCGGAAAGGACCCACCGGAGAGACCCTCTCAACAATTTCCAATACTACACCGGCGGCTGGAACGTTACCGATTCCCATTACATCGCCGTGAGTTTATTATATTGCAATGAAAACGTCATGTGTAAAATTACTTCAAGGGGGGCTGTTTCTCCGATTTAATTGGTATGGGGTTAAAACCTAAAAACAAAACATAGAGTGGGGTCAAAATGGAAATAAGGAAAAACAAGGCTTCTGCTGGTTTTGATTCAAACGGTTGGTGGCAACGGCTACATTTTCAGTTACTTCTGTACATATAACCGATACTTTAGATATTGTAATATCCTCATCATCTTCTTTTTTATTTGTCAAGTCGGTGGCATTTTCAGCAGTGCCTCTGATAGCGATAGCGATAGGATGGTTCGTGTTAATCGGACTGTTCCTAATCTGCGCATGCTTCTGTTGCTGCTGCTGCTGGCTCGGACCCAGAGCCTACGGCTACTCACGCGTCTGCTACGCTCTCTCCCTCACTTTCCTCCTCCTCTTCACCATCGCCGCTACGTACGTATATACATACATTCTTTGTCCCTTTCATTACCAACTATCCATCATAACCTAACCTGTACGGCTCTGTCTCTTGTGTTTTCTTGGACAGGCTCGGGTGTGCGATGCTGTACACGGGTCAACGGGAGTTCTACAGCAGCGTGGAGGAAACGTTCACTTACATCATCCGACAAGCCACTGGTATCTTGAATACACTGACGGGCTTGTGGGATTCGATTCAGTCGGCTAAAGACATCCACCTCAACGGACAGTTCATGTTCCCTCCTGAGTTCAGGGAAAGCATCGACCACTTCAGCAACATGATTCACATGTCTAATACCACCTTGCCTGATCGTGTCTCCAATACTACCATTCACTATCTCACTGGAGCTCTGAATCCTGTGTATGTATCTTCACTAGTTTTCTTGTCTTCTAAGTAAAGTATGTTTCTTTTATTGGCCTGATACATATGATGCCGTTCTAAGTTTGCAGGAGATTAGCTCTCAATGTGATCGCTGGTATCATGCTCGGAGTCGCCCTTCTCGGCCTCTGTAAGTAACCTAAACTACACCTCAGATTGTATTCGTCTGAATCGATTGAAAAGTTTGTAACTTTTTTCGGGTTTTTTCGATGTGTACTTGCAGTGTTTTCAGTATGCGGCCTGCGGGTTCTCGTCTACCTGTGAGTGGTTACAAACTTCGATTTTCACGTTTATCTTCCGCGATTCAAAGTTGCTGAGTCGAGATTATTCTCGTGTGATCTCTTCAGGTTGGTTGTTTTGGGTTGGATTCTCGTCACAGCAACGATCCTTCTCAGCGCCATTTTCCTCGTTTTCCACAAGTAAGAAGGGCAACATTCATATGCATATATACGACATAAAGTTCTTTCTTATATGGAGACTAGCTTGTAATACGTTTTACGTTTTGGTTCCAACGAAAAGCGTGGTGGCGGACACGTGCATGGCGATGGACCAATGGGTGCAGAACCCGACGGCCGAGTCGACACTCAGCCAGCTGCTGCCCTGCTTGGACCGTCGCACCGTCGACGAGACGTTAAACATAACGAGATCCGTTACGTTCACGACCATTGACTTGATCAACGACTACACCCTCAACATCACTAACCAGGAGTTCCCACCGGACTTCCCTCTCTACCATAACCTGTCGGGTCCACCGCTTCCGCTTCTCTGTAACCCTTTCGACCCATCACTCAACCCTCGGCCCTGCGCTCCTGCCGAGGTCCCCCTCGCCAATGCCTCTCAGGTACACTTATCGTATATATACGGTATTCGAAATGTTATATATAAGAAGAACAGGTTCTAAGTTTTTTTTTCTTTCTTTCAATATATACAGACGTACAAAACGTACGTATGCCAAGTGGATTCAAAGGGAATATGCACGACACAGGGACGGTTAACCCCCGTCTCCTACGACCAGATGATGGGTGCGATCAACGTGGCATTCACGTTAGACCACTACAGCCCGTTCCTAGCCAGCCTGATCGGCTGTACGTTCGTGAGGGACACGTTCAGGGCCATAAGCGCGCACCATTGCCCAAGGCTCAGCGTTTCCAGCCAGTGGATCTACGCAGGCCTGGCCTCGGTCTCTGGAGCCGTGATGGTTTCGCTCATCCTTTGGATGATCTTTATCAGAGAACGTAGGCATCGTGTCCGTACAAAGAAGTCCATGATCGAGATGAGTAGGTTCTAGGAGGGAAAGGAACGATCGAATCCATAAAGCAAGAGTGCATTCGTATTACGTTTTTGTGTCTGTATACGAATAAAGCTACAGGTCCCAATCCCTATTGTGAATCCATACATCATATATATGGCGTATGATAAACAATTAGACATTATCGGTATATATTGTCAACAATGACAGCGTGAATACACTTAGGGGTGACCAATTTGGATTTCGGTTTGGGTTCGGTTTGGTTATATTCAGATTCGGTTATTTCGGTTATAGAAAAACTATAATCATTCGGTTTTTATATAAACTTCGGTTCGGTTATTTTTAGGTCCGGGTTCGGTTTTGGTAAAAAGTTCAGTTTTTCGAAGAAATTGTCGGTTATTTTCTCGATTTTTCGGTTATATTTTATTCGGTTCGGTTGGGTTGGGTTCGATTTTTTCGGATTTAAGAAAATCATAACTGTTCGGTTTTGATGTCGGGTTCGATTCGGATACAGTTATATCTTATTTAGTTCGCTTCGGCTCGATTATTCGGCTAATAACCGAAATGGTCTAACCCTAAATACAAGGAAGGAGTGAGGATCATTCTTTAAAAACCAGTCGAATTTAAATAATAAAAATACATATGTTATAATATTAAAGTATAAAATAATAATATCAACAAAAGCGTTAGGGGTATCCTAGACAGATTTGATATCGCGTGTATAATGATACTAATATATATTACAAATATGTTGCAAATTATAAAATTGAATTCGTTAAGATCTATGCCAAGAATGGACCTCGAGATGTACAAACACGACGCGTCACGTGTTGGAGACCGCAAAAAAGAAAAGGTCCGCACAACACAACAAAATGGTTCGGTTTTTTATACTGTGACAGCATGTCCTATGTTATTACAGATACAAAATAAAATATTTCGTTTCCACTCACTCAAAGTTTTGAGTTTTTTTTTTTATAAAAATTTCTAAAGATAAAACCCCGAGAATTTCGTGTCCCTTTTATTGAATTGTTTTAAGGAAAGATGAAATTTAGTAACTGTTTATAGGTACAATACGCGACCCCTTTTTCGCCAACCTCATTTGTCCATTACAGAGCTTGAAACAGAGAGAGAGAGAGAGAGAGAGAGAGAGAGAGAGAGAGAGAGAGAGAGAGAGAGAGAGAGAGAGAGAGAGAGAGAGATGACAAGG